ACCACTACACAAGCTGATTTTGACCAACGAAAAGCTCTCCGAGCTCGCTCCTTGATACATTTGGAAATCCCAATGGATATGTATCGCGCTTGACTTTGCGCTCAAAATAGGAGGCGCTGCTGTACCCGCGATGCGGACAATTTCTGCGGTGCTCGCACCTGGCAAAACCGATGCAGATGACGAATAGCTCTTTAGGCGATTGGTGCAGCGGCACCGAAAACTTTATTCGCTGTCAAACTTACAGCGTGGCTACAAGGAGGTAAACGTGTGCGTAGAACGTCATCTCCGAATCGAGTTTGCCAAACTCAAGGCGCATTACCAACTTCTTCGCATTAACGCCCTGCAACTTATCGATTAAACCGTCAAGCTCCCTAGCTCTGTGGTCTCTTACACGAGTGAGTCGTTGACCACAGCAGCTCAGGGCCATAGCTTGAGCTCAGCTTATGGCTCTCCGACTTCCCTGTCAACTGCCGAGAAACGTGGAGCGAATGACGACGCGGAACATCATGATTTCTCTGATCATAAGCGTCCACGACGTCTGGACAGTGGCTTCTCAGTGGCACTTCTAGCTTCCATGAGTTATCCCCGACGCTTCACAAAATACTGAATTAGACTTTGTTGACGACGTCGACCCACAAGACGTTCCATGTGATAACTACCGTTCTCGTCGAGACGAGTCGGTGGCGGACGATGAAGACTTGGTGGTTGCCGTGCGGTGACTCGCGATGCTCTTCGGGCTCTTAAGGACAAGGTCTGCCGCCATCGGGCTCCGCAGAGCATCATCCTGGCGTCTCCCAACGCTGTTCAGAAGCATTCGAGAGCTTGAATTACTTTGTGCAACGACTTCCTCACGTTGCGGATTATCGCGCTCTGCCAAAGCGGCTCTTAGCCATCGCCACATAAAACGCCGGATTGGTCTGCACCCTTTTCGGCAGGATTAGCGTATACGCAAGGCCCCGCTTGGTTACAATTTAGTAAAGATCCGATAAACCGTGGACGGAGCTTCGTCTTTAAAAAGGCAAAAGCTGCGTGTGAAGAAAAGTTTTTCGCGTTTGATAAATTCGGGTTTCCGACCTCAAACTTTTTGACATTTCTTTTGCTTCTTCCATCTGCATATCCTTCATGCATGGCTTGGCTCTCAGCCATAGCATCGCGATCGTGTCGTAAGCACTCATTATGGCGCTTTTGCGCCTCGAAGTCACGTGCACACACTGCAGAGAACGTCTTCAACGACGCGATTCACGCTTTCGGTCTGCGGATGGTCTGCTATTGACATAATTAACTTGGTGCTCAGCACCTTGAAAATCGTCGACCAGAACTTCCCACTGAAGCGTGGGTCTTTGTCAGAGATAATTGACGACGGGAGTCCATGTCGTTGAAAGACACGATCTACAAACAGCGTCGCTGTATCGACACCGTCGATGGTGTCCGGCACCACAGCAAGATGAGCATTCATGCTCAAACGGTCGACGAAGACAACGACACCTGTGTTGCCCGCCGAGTCCTTCGGCAAGCCAAACACAACGTCCATACTCATGGACTGCCAACACCCGGAGGGTACCGGCAAACTGACCAGCGGCGTCGCCGCATTCGGAGAGGGTTTTATCTTTTGACACGTCTCACCCATGCGCACATAGGTGCTCGTCCATTTGTATAGCTTGGTTACCAGCAGGGGCAGCTCACAGAGCTGTACATTCTTTCGCGACCGAAATGACCACTGAGTGGGGTGTCGTGGGCCTCATAGATGATATGGTACTTCAAATCCTCCTCGTGAGGAACCACAATTTGTGGTGTATCCGTCGACTCGGTGTTCCGCTACTCAGCGAATATCGATGCAACCGAGCGCGCAATCGCGACGACAAGTTATTGTCCGAGTTTCCAAAAATTCTGCTCCCGAGAGTTCGTGGCAATGCTACGCACACATCGTTACGCGCGTATGCGTCATGGACGACGTCACCGTCGTGACATGAGCAAGCTCATCATCTGGTTTGCGCTACAATGCACCGGCCAAAGCATTCTGCTTTCCTGGCCTATACATTATTTTAAAGTTATATTTGGTGAAGAATGACAGCCACCTGGCCGTCCTCTGCGAGAGGTGAGGCGATTGAGTCGCAGTGCGTAGCGACGCATGATCTGTGTAGATTACGAACGGCTTGGAGCCGTGTAGGTGCACCCTGAACTTGAAAAGCGCGTACTTCATCGCAAGTAATTCCTTGTTGTGAACTGAGTACTTCTTCTTTCAGCCTTGAGCTGGCGAGATTCAAACGCGATCACCCGATCTCGGCCCTCGGTGTCTGCTTGCAGCCGATGGAAAACTTTGAAGCGTCACAGACGACACTTATAGAACGATCGGGGTCCGGCAACGTCATTTATCAGGTTCATGAAGGAGGCTGTATTTGACCCTGTCAAAGCTGCATGATGATCGGCGTCCTAACACCGTTCCGTATCCTTTATCAGGAGATTCGACAATGGCCGTGCCATTTCCGCATAACTCTCGCTATACTTGTGCAAGTAGTTGGCACGGCCAAGCCATTTGCGCAAGCCCTTTTAGTTCTTTGGAATCGGCCAGTCTACAATGGCCTTGACTTTAAAGAGATCCGTTCAAAAGCAACGCTTGCCAAAGAAGCACTCTAAAAGGGGATTACCTCAGCGCCGAAGATGCACTTGTCTGCATTAGCATAGAGATCATTCGTGTGCATGCACTCGAGCACCGCTCTCCAATGAACGATGGGGTTCACGTTATTGGTCCTCCCGTGCTTCGCACGACCGTGGAAGATGATGTCGTCGAAGTATGTCTGTGCATACGCCTGGTGGGGCCTAAACAATTGCGTCACAAGACAATTTTAATGTTGCTAGTGCATTTGACAGCCTTTGTAGCAGCACAAGCCACTCCTCGTCGATCACCAAATACGTATTAGACAGGATTGCCGAACGTGGCACGCGGGCTGAACGTGGAGTGGCACGCTGAGCGCTGCTCAAGTATCGGAGCCACTGTATGACATGCATGGTATGGTCAGCCAAGGGGCTGAAGCATCAAGGGCGAGGTCCCAGTGATGCACGTGGAGTGGCACATAATCCACTGAGCACTGCTCACATTTCGAACAATCGCTGCATGCCACGGGTCTCGATGAGACGAGAAATCTCGATAGAGAGGAGACGGCGAAGCCATATGATATCTGCAAGACGCAGGGCATCGACCGAGACCCAGCGTGTGGCTACCGTATACGATAGCGCACAGCTATATATATATACCTTTGTATACGGTATGACAGGAGAAGAAGACGGCGACGTCGTCCTGGAGGCTTTTTCCGCGGAGGATGCTCGTGGTGAGATGGACGAGATGTCTTTCGCAGAGTTTGGCGGAGCCTGAAGGCAAGCTATCAAGCCAAGTTGGTCATTACAAGACCGAAAGAGAAGATTAACTCTTCGACGCTTCTGGATGAAGCTATCCCGGAGGACACTAAGGGGGAAGGGTGTTGAACGGACGAAGTAGATCATCGGCCCCGAAGGATCCTTCGGATCCGTACTATCTATTTGTAGAGAAATTTGAAGGCGTCGTCCCGCCATCGATTCTACCTTCGGATTGAGGTGTGCGTCATGAGATCGACCTGGTTCAGGAAACCAAATACTGCATAACACGCCAATGATCCCTGCCCATGGAGCAGTAGGACGTTATTGACGCTTTCTTTCGTGCGAAGTACGACGCAGGAATGGTGCGTGAGAGTTAGTTTAAGTTTTCCTATTCGACACCACATTTTGTGTCCGGAAGCCGAACGGCAAGTGGCGTATCGTACACGCTTAAAATAAGCTCAACGCTGCCCCCCATTCCGGCACACACACCGAATTTTAGAAGGAATGCTTTTCCGAACAACATGGTTAGATGTTCAAAGTGTAGTGCAATCATCTTGGTCGATGGATATTACCAATTGCTCATGCGAGCGAGTGATACTCCGCTGACTGCGGTGGGTACTCCGAGCGGCATGCTCTGCTCTGATACTCCAATTTTTAGCAGGTTGACTGTCCCAGTCTAATGCCCGCGTCAATAGCACTTTGCTTCCTAGCAAAGGGGGGCATATGACTAACCAAAGCTCTACCTGAAGATGTGCACGTAGCGCTCAAGGTCTTCGACACCCAATCGATCCATGGCTCATGGTGTCGCAGCCATACCATACCAAGGATGAGGTCCAAATCTGAATCCAAGTCTACGACTAAACAGTGTTCCATGCTATCGAGGTCAAGAAACTTGACACCGAGGTCCACATGCCCCCTCGGCACCGTTACACAAGTCCCGCCGCTAAGTGAACAATGACAGTGTCATTCAATTAAGCTTTCAGCGCCTCAGCATACAGCTGACTTCCTTCTATCGTAGAGTGTCGAGCATAAGCAGCTAAGTTACCTACCTACCATCCAGCAATTAGTTGATTATCCATATAGGCGCTACAGGAACCCCGTTCCGGAGTCGACAAGAATTTTCCGTGGTTTCTCAAAGCACTTCACGGTCAATTTCACGACCAGCAAGCCCGGCTTGCATACATGATCCGAGTTCAAAAGCGCGGAGCGCTTCGGAGCTGGGCCCTGCTGCCCTCTACCTCTTTGAGACCCATTAAAAAATCATTTTTTCAGTTGGGCACCCCGCGCCTACTGGGAGTTGCTGTCTCCCCGCGACAGACCATACTGGTGAAAAGTAGACATCGGTTCTCTTGACGCGTCTTGCGCAGGGGACAATATTGAGTAAAAATATATACTCCAGTATATTGGATATCACTTTGAAGAAACTGTAATTGTAGATATAATCCTCTTAGAATTGAGCAAAGTAAATCTGCAATGCGCAAGCTCTGGCTTCGCCTTGTGTCTTATAGAACAAAATTGAAATGTCTACTAGCTTTGAGGAACAACTGCCCCGTATTTCTCCATTGTTCATTGTCTTCGACTCTCATGTTTGCTATGTTACTCAGGATATTCGCTAGATAAATCGTTATGTTGATAATGAAAAATCAATTTGTGTATTTACTATATATGCCCACTTGAGTATTTTGAACATTTCTGCATCCGAATCTGTATTCCAGGCTTATATGATTAGTGAGCTTACTGCTTTGTAAAAGGCAATGTTGCGTAGGGCGATTGCCGAGCTGAGACGTTCTCCTTTCGGGCGTTAGTGAATGTTCTCAGCGAGCCCGTCTATGTTTTTTTAGCTTCTCTGTGAAGAGGAAAGGAAATATGGCTTTCGACCCATCAGACATGGTCGAACTCCCCTTTCATCTTCGGCAAATATTAAGTACAATCGTACTTAAGCTTTTCAGCTCATAATACTTATTCCAACTCAAGTTTTACAAGTCGTCCAAAGTTGCCCATTTACTGGTATACCAATTCACGGACTTTAAATCTGGTTTTGTGTGTCTTTATGTGTTTTCGTTGCTGGATGTTTACGACTGATTTTTACTGTAGAATGTTATGTTGTTTTCTGGATAATTGGTACAAATTCGGTTTGCTTCACCATCAAGATGTCGGTGCTACCGGCTTCTATCGTTGTCTTTCGTCGTGGTTAGTCTTTTCGGAGAAGATGATGCCGTAAATCAGCTTTGGCCTTATAAAAACGGCGTAAATGTTGATTCCTGTTCTGTTCTTCTGCCTTTGTTTTCTAACGCTGTACTTCTACTTGTTAATTTTGACTCTCAACATATTTTAATGAACTGCTTCACTATGACCTTAGTCACTGTTTGCCTTCATGGCAATGCGTTATAATACTGCTCTCAGCGAACATCCTACCCAATCTTTTCGTTTGCTACATTTCAAAACCTACGATCTGATTGCAATTTTTCATTTTTCTGGATCATAACGTATTTTTGTGATCGTAGCACTGCATGCTTTACCGTTCTCATATGTGATCTTGTCGTCGTCTCTTTGTCTGATCCTTTCATTATCTGTCGCTTCTGTTTACCTAATAGCACCTATTAACGGCATTCATAAATGTGATCAGCACTGGCATGCACTTATTAACGACAATGGTACTGTGGATGTGAATAGATACTGATGTAACATTAAATTTAGACATCAGCAATATGTGCCAACGTTACTCTAGCACATACTATGCTTGCTGGTGAGATTTGGTGACATGGTAGGCATGGGGGCAATTGGGGGATCAACGGGTGTTGATTGCTCAACAGAGGTGTCAGAGTCTTTACATGCATCTGAAGGCCTTTGGTTGTCCACAGATGGGGGTGGCATGATCGTTGGTGAAGACGAAGGCAATGATGACGGTGGCTGACCTGATGAAGTAGAAGTAGACGGGGGCGACATGGGTGCAATAGGGACTGGAGCAGGTATAACTA